CCCCACCCTCGAGCCGGCGCCCCGCCCTGGCCTCTGCTCATTGGCCTGGATCCCCACAGAGCCGCCCTCATTGGCCGTCCTTCACCTCAAGGGGGCGGGGCCCAAAGTCGCCGGAGTTTTGCTCGGGACGGGACGTCCGACAGAGGAGAGGCTGACGTCGGGGTGACGCTCCGAGTTAATCGCATCTGACGTCACGTCTCGTCTTAGCTCGCCTGCGGCGATTGGCTGAGCGGCTTTGGGGATCCCCTGCTAATTGGGCGTCAAGGTTACAAGGTCTGGTTGTCTCAGTCGGAGCCCCGCCCCTGAAGGGTAATAGAGGACTGAAGGCAGTAACAGAGTACCTGCCACTGTGGTCCGTGGTGAAGATCCCCATCCGGTAAAGGCAGGACATGTGACCAAGTATGGATTTTATCTTCCGACAGCTGCAGAAGCTTTGGACCTTGATGTGCCTCTGTGGGGGCGGGCACAGTAGGATGTCTCTAGAACTTTTCCTTAAAAGGAAGTTCGGTAGTGGGGTGGGACAGACTATACTTTATTCCAGACTTGAAATTACCTAGTCGGCTGTAGTCTTCCATAGTTGTATGGAGCAACTGCAGTACAAAATTATGCCAAGAGATTAAATGTGTTTCGTGTGGTCGGCATGGTACAATAGAGTTGAATATAAGGTCTTTCAAAACCAACTCATACATGCGTTTGGTCTTATAGGAACAGAATATGCCCTGGACTCGCCATATGATTAGGGCTATGCCTTCTTAATGGGGCATGTGACACCCATGTTTGGGGTTTCTTCTCTCAGAGGACCCTAGAAGAGAACTGATCTTGACCTCGGTGAAAAGAAACATGGACAGCCATTCTCTGTTTGTTTGAGATCTGTACGTTTCATTTGACAGGCCTGTGAGAAAACCTGGCTAGGCTTTAGGCTAGGAGAAGGTCTTATTGAGGTTAAATGGAGGAGGTAGAGGCCAAAGTGTAAGGAGGCTTGGCTTACTTCCCACTCCAGTTTATGCTGTGTGTGGGCATGCCTAGGGTAGGGCGTTAAACCAGTCCTCTTTAAGCTCTGTGTGGATAGACTAGAAAAGTTTCCCGGATGGGTGATCAGAAACACAAGACTAGGGCGGTGATGGTGCATGCCTTTAATCCCAGCACCCAGAGGCAGAGGCAGGCAGATTTCTGTGAGTTCAAGGCCAGCCTGGTCTACAGAATGAGAAACACAAGACAAGGTAAGGAGGTAACATATGAGGGAATAATAATACTAATTTTAAAAATACTACAATAAGGCAATTGCTGAGCTAAGGCTGAGGGATTGACTGTGGAGGGTCCTAGGCTGGCCTGAACTACAAACCGAGCCCCTGTCTCAAAAAACAGCAGTAACAAAATGAAAAACAACAACAAAAACTAAACAAAAAAGAAACAAGTGAAAGATTTTAATGCAGGGATAGGCATTCTGCTTTAAAGATAAAAAGATACCCCTTTTTTCGTTTTTGTTTTAAAATTTGAGACATTCATTGCTACTCTGATTGGAAAACCTTACCATGTGTTTCCTGGAATTCTTTTTATAGACATTTAATCTAATTTAAGCTAGATATTTTTCTAGCTTTTTAATACAGTTGGTGCTATGATCTCCTTTGATTTCATATCCTCTCCATACCTGAGTAAATCTCCCTTTTTCCAGACCCTTGAGCATTCCATGTTTATACTGCAAGTCTCAAGGAATTATCTTTCTGTAGTGTAAAGATTAAATAAAAGCACGGATGTCCGCCGGGCATTGGTGGCACATGCCTTTAATCCCAGCACTTAGGAGGCAGAGGCAGGAACTCACAGAGGTGAGTTTGAGGCCAGCCTGGTCTCCAGAGCCAGAATAGGCTCCAAAGCTACACAGAGAAACCCTGTCTCGAAAAACAAAAAACAAACAAACAAAAGCACGGATGTCCAGTCTAGTTTCATCAAGAGATAACACTTTGTAAATTGCCCTGATTTCAGCCCATTGATAATGGTTCTGTTAACATGTGATATATACCTGTTTAGTATTCATATAGTGTCAGTACACTGAATAAGGAAATTAAGGCAATAGTAAAGATGATTAACAAAATTTGCTTTTACAAGGGAAAATAAAAGCTTCATATTTCATCATAAAATACCTTATTCAAATACTTCATGTCTAAGTGAAATATAGTCTAAAGAGGAATTCTTGGTGAATTCTTTTTATTCTTTTTTACTTCTATAGGGAAGAACTTACCACATCTCTAAAGCCTTAGTTATTTGGGGGTGGAGTGAAGATGGGGATGGGGGAGGTTTGACTAGAACAAGTTAAGCCTGTATCCCACTGCTTTTCCGGTGGGTAAATCCCTGCCCACAGGAGTTCCTAACTTAGTCTCTTCTTACTAAAAATTCTGATGACATCCAAAGGGTGGGGGAGTTTTCATTGTAGCTTTCAAATGTCTAATTTCTGCTCCCTTTTCTAGTATCTGATTATTTTCTTAATTCTAGGTAAAATTTTCTCTGTCCTTATTTTAATGGGAATCAAACCTTTTAATGGGTAATATGGTGTTGTATCGAGTTAGTGTTTATTTGCACTTTCTTTTTCCCTTTTGAGCTTTCCAACTGAGGGTGGGAGAAGTCTTCATAAGCAATGTCCAAAAGACTTCTTGATGGATTATGCCAACCTAAATCACATGGTCAAGTTGTGCTGCCCATAAAGATAATTAATCTGAAGGAGGCTGACAAAAGTCACTCTTTGGGATGGTTACCACTGTGTGCGTGTTTTCTGCGTCTTTGTTCAGCTTAAATAATTAATCATTGAATGCCAGCTCAGTGTAACATGCTGTGGAAGAGAATTTAAAAATTAAAGCTTACGGTTTCCAGGGGAGTTTTCTGTATAAATGTGAATGAACCAACACAGAGCAAAGCAATTAGAGAATTAGTAAATGCTAATTTGGGTATGTTGGTGATGAGCTTAAAAAATGCAAAGAAAGAAGTCTAGGGAGATTTTTGTGGAGGTGGCAAAACTTCTAAGATCTCTTGATGGCCAAGTAAATTCTTAATAAGTAGAGGTGGTACAGACAGAGAGAGGCCAATAAAAATTACTGTAATAATCACTCTAGGTAAACACATTCATTTTGTGAATGAGGAAACAGACCCCGCTAATTTAAAAGCAACGTGCCTAACATATTATATTTGGAAGAAATGGTTCTGAGTCAGCTTTTAAATCTAGTGCCTGTGTACACCAAATAGATACTGTTGTGTTTCACTGAAGAAACCCACCTGAGTGCCATGAAAGGACAGTGGGAGATAATCTGAGCCAGGGTTTACCATGGCTCTGATATGTGCATGTGTAGTTTAAGCAGAGGCTGCCTGACCACTATGGATTTTCTGTCCTTCACATGTAGGAGCAACCCCCATCTCAGGTTGCTGCATATTTAGTGACCACTTCCAATGTCTCTGATATCTTCTGGACCCATTTGATATCCTAATAAGTGAAACAGACCAAACAAAATGTCATAGGGATGGTGGTACCATATTATGGTGAGCTGAGGGTATTTAAAGACCTGACAGTTTCTTGGTCCAATAGATTATTCTAAGTGAGCTTGAAGGGGTTCAGTGCTGACAGATTTAACTTTTAGGCAAAGCTAGATGACAATAATTTTTACGTGAACCTTTTGATTTTTATTAGCATCTAACAAAACATTTTAATGTATATTCTCTGTATAGTAAAGTCTCTGAGCCAGGCATAGTGACAAGCCTGCTATCCCAGCACTTGTGAAGCTGAGGTGGGAGAATTAAGTGTTCCAGGCTAGGTTGGACAACAGAGTGATGGCTTATTTAATAGTTTATGGTTAGAAAGGGTCAAGATGGACTGAAGTGTTATATAGATAAAAAGAACCAGAGGATTTGAACTGAGGTGGCTTTTGGCAAACATCTTCTATTTCTGTAGAATGTATGTTTATCTAGGGTTGGATTAAGGTTGGTATGTGTATGGATGTTGGAAAGGGAGGTTGAGTGTTTCTGTAGCTATATATACAGAGAAGGCCCAAGTCAAACAGTTGTCTGAAAGGGACAGCCCATCATGGCAGTCCTTCAGATACCAAGTTCCATGCCCCCTCTTGGATACTAGGACACTGGGATTGGTTTGTGCTTACCCTGGTACAGGCAGCTGTAGTGATATTATCCCGCTTTGGTCTTAGCCTTAGTAGAGGTAAGAACTCTTTTAGTGGCTTGGCTGCTTTGCTTTTCTGATCTTCAGACAAGATTTTTTGTTAGATTTCAAATAATATATCACTTACAGGCAGTCCCTGCTCCCACCCACAGGCTATCCTTCTATGACCATCCTCTTCTATACTTAGCCTCCAAGGCTCTTTCCTCCTTGCAGGACAGTCTAACTCTGAGTTATTTGATCTAGGTGTAGGGAAAGTTGGTTAACCTCTTGGTACCCTATCAGCCACTCAGCATCCTTACATCCTCTTCTGTTCTTTTCCTTCCTTGACACTGGGAGCTGAGTAATGATAGTGTGAGTGCACAGTGTTATCTTTATTCTTTGTAGATTTATTGAACACAACAGATTCTTTTCCAGAAATCTAGTACTTCATTTTTTACTAACACCCCTGTAAACTGTTTTTTTGCTCTAAAGGTAGTGGGACCTGGGAGAATGGAGTCAATAAATGAGGCAGACTAAAGTCTCATACAATCGCCAGCTTTATTCACAGCACCAAGCAATTTATATTCTGAGGGTTAAGTGTGCAATCACAAGGGCAAGCCAAATATGGCCAGCAAGCCTCAAGCAACAATAAACGATAACAATAGTCAGTTGTGATGAATAATCTGAAGTCAGCTCAGTCCTATCTACTGTACCTGGGAGGGACATAAAAGCATAATCCAAGAGCAATTCTGTGTTTTGACGAAACTGAGGTCACATGACTGTTTCTTGAGGTTTTTTTCACAAGAACTCACAAATCTCCTGACATACATAAGCTTCTTTCTTTCTGATTTTGTTGTTGTTGTTGTTTTCTTTTCTTTTTTGCCTTTTCTTGTTTGAAGAGACATCTTTAAGAGGTTGTCTGTCTTTTGGAAAGAAAAGTCGTATTTATTAATTTTCATACCAAAACAACAATAAAACTCCTGTCTTGATGAAGGGAACCCAGTGGGCAATATCTCTTTCACACATGATAATTGCTTTATGGCTTTTCAGCATAGTACAGAGCCCCAGATGATGTCAAACAGATTCTAAGAACAGTGCTGAAAAGAAGCTCATATGTTTCCAAATAAATTCAAGATTTAGGTAGAAGGGGAATGCGCTGCTTGTCTGTCCAACTTTTCACTTCTAAACATGCTAATGGTGAACAAATATCATCAACACCAAGAAACAGGGTCTGAACGAAGAGCCCGGTCTTGAGTGATGAGATTATAGTCATGTCCCACTATACCAGGCTTACTAGCTTATTCCTGATAAGGCTTTATAGTTTAGAAACAATTAAGTTATATTATCTCTGAATTTCTTTCTCCTAGAACTTTGTGAAGTAGCTATTGTTCTAGACTCTCTGTACTTTTGTGATAAATGAGACTGAGAGAGGTTGTGTATGATTCACGTTATGAGTAATAGAGTCAGACCAGATCTAGCAATCTACTTTTGGACATGGCTTTGAGGTCTGAAGAGTTAAACTGATCATGCCATGTTGGCCCCTCATGAGCACTGGGAACTGGTTTTGTTGGTGCTGTTGAAAGAACACTGAATCATGATTTGTGCTGCACTGCAACCTTTTGTGTAATAAATATGTAGAGTACATACATGCCCATTTGAAAAAACTCATGATAATTCAAAATGATTCGATTTATAGTTGTCATATCATTGCTTATATTGCATGTCACTAATACACATGATTTATTTGACAATGTGTCTTTGGTCAAAAGTACCACAACACTGTCATTTGTTCCCATGGGAAAATGCCCGTTACTTTATGCCATGGTTTCTATCTAATAAATACATGGCAGAAAGCATACAATAAACATAGCTCACTTATAACCTTTGAAGATCTTTCTGGTTCAACTTAGAGGGTTAGAATCACAACTGTGGTGGGTCACATTTTATTTTCGGTCATTCAAATACTGACTCAAGTATTTGGTCCTTGGTCCTTTATATTTTACTGGTTGAGGACCTTTTGCTGTTGCTTGGAATTAAGCAACACGATGCTTTTAGGTTAGAATATTTGCAGAGCTAGAACTAGGCAGG